TTTCTACTTTCCACAATCGATGCAAAACATTTAACAAGATCATTTAACTGAAGAATAGTAGATGATGTAGATAAGCTTGGCGCACGAAGGAATTGCGTAATTTTCGAGTAAATTACAGAAAACTGATTTTGTGCATAAAGAAAGTAAGGAATTATTGTGTTGCAGAATCACTGACATAAACCCTTGTTATGCGACTCTTCGTTGAATTATACTTTTGTATAACTTGTTGTCATATACTTGATGTTATACCTAAATGTTACACTTTTTATTCATGAGTTTTTATTATATTTTATTTAAAATTTAAAAAATTTTCAAATAGTTATTTTGTATTTTCTTTGTCTTAGTTATATTTTCGTATACACAGGGTTTTTATTTTGTCCTCCTCATTGAAATATCTTCGTTATTTTCGGTCATATAAAATGTGTCAAAACAACTTTGTTTAATTCGAAGGTAAGAAGATTATAATTCATGTTTCTCTCTCTCTCAAGGTTATTCTTTGTCCAGTATTAAAGTCATCGCTAATTTTTACACACTAAACTCACCAAACGACATCTGACACTGTGACTTTTAAACGATCTTTAAATGACCTTTAAAAAATAGGGGTTAATGTGCAGAAAATATCGATGACTTTCAATACTTGAAAAAAAAACGATTTTGACTGATAAAAAAAATATAAATCATAATATTCCTAGCTTTGAAGTAAACAAAGTTGTTTCGACACATTTTCTTGTATCGGCAAAAATAACGAAGATATTTCAACGTGCGGGATTAAATAAACACCCTATATACGTATACTTTACATAGCACTTAAAACTTGCAACCATATATCAGTTCAATTAAATTTGAATTCGTGTGTATTTAATACTATATAACTATAGCGTGGCTCTTTATAATCTATGAAAAAACGGGAATACGATTCCCATCGAAAAATTATTTGATGCGTATAATTGGTGTTCGAAACTATAATTGTTCGCGGAATCCCTCGAAAGCAATGTAACATTAGCAAACAAATTCACGCAGTTCGATTTTCTAAAGAACCAAAAAATCTCCGATGTGTACGAAATAATGCAGCAGGAATACATTATAAATGACTTTTCTGTTTGGCTCACTATGCAGGCAACGGGTGTAAGTTCGAGCCACCCGTTACGTGACCGATAGCGTACTTAACCCATAGAGACAGGTCCATTGATCTCGTTAGAGTGCCCGGCGGCCTGCAATGCAGTCGTGCATCGTGTTGCAATGTGGAACAACAGAAGGTATTAAATGCCAAACCGTGCCCGGTCATAACGCGACGCAATTTACATTCGTCTATTTGTCGGGCGTTTGTACACCGGAATTGGTGTCTGCCGTCGTACATCCATCGTACATCCGTCGTACATCCGTCGCACATCCGTCGCACATTCGTCGTACGTATGTTCGTAGCAGGCCTGGGCACGTTTCGTTTGAAATGACAAATCATTCTTTGAAATAATCCGATTTTATTTCAAATACTTTATTGTTTTCATCTCACAGATAGCATAGAAAACTAACTTTACGCTGTTTCCGATTCAAATACGTTATTTCCAAATAATTATTTATTTGCATTATTCGCTCAAATAAAATGAACAAGTAATTTGACGTAAGAATTCTTGAATCGATTGTCACTGAAATGAATAAGAATGAATAAAAATTCTTGAATCGATTGTCACTGAAATGAATAAGAATTAATAATCGATCGAAATCAACTGAAAATTATTGAATTAAACTAATTTTACTTAACTTATACTTTATATGAAGGAACAAATAATGTAATGAATTGTTTGACCTTAAATCTGAATAA